GGAGGAGTGATGACGTGGATGTGTCGCCAGCAGATTGAATGCTGAATCACATCTCCCTCTTGCTCGCCTCAGTTCATCGCGTGGATTCGATATGCGGAGTGGGAGGCATCCCAAGGAGAGCTGCCTCGCGCTCGTTCCGTCTTCGAGCGCGCACTGGATGTCGATCCGCGCCATCCTCAGCTTTGGTTGCGCTACGTCGATCTGGAACTCAAGTCGCGCAACATTCAGCACGCTCGCAATCTGCTGGACCGCGCGGTATCCATCTTGCCTCGCATAGATCAGTTCTGGTACAAGTATGTTCATCTCGAAGAACTGCTGTCCAACGTCGTGGGTGCCAGGCAGGTGTTTGAGAGGTGGATGGCTTGGGAACCCGATGAGAGGGCTTGGGCCGCCTACGTCGGTATGGAGGTGCGCTACAACGAGCTGGAGAATGCTTCTGCGGTTTGGGAAAGGGCGGTGAGCGTGCACCCTGAGCCCAAGCTGTGGATCAGGTGGGCCAAATTCGAGGAAGAGCGCGGGGCAATGGATCGAGCCAGGCGCGTCTTTACTATGGCTCTCGAATATTTTGGCGAGGATGAGGACAAGATGGAAAAGGCGCAGACCGTGTACACTGCATTTGCAAAGATGGAAACGAGAGCAAAGGAGATTGAGAGAGCGAAGGTCATCTACAGGTACGCACTCGAACGGCTGCCGAGAACAAAAAGCAGCGGCATCTACGCAAGCTACACGCGATTCGAGAAACAATTTGGCAATCGACAAGGCGTCGAGGATACCGTGCTCGGCAAGAGGCGGATACAGTACGAGGAAGAAGTGACCAGCGGCCTGCCTGGAGCTGCTACCAACTACGACACGTGGTTCGACTACACTAGGCTGGAGGAAGATGCTTACAGGGCAATCCTCTCCGGTGGTGCAGCTCGCGACTCGCAAGAGGCAAAAAAGGCTCAATCCAGGGTGAGGGACATTTACGAGCGAGCAGTGGCCAATATCCCGCCGTCCAAAGAGAAGCGGCATTGGAGGCGGTATATCTTCTTCTGGCTAGACTACGCGCTCTTTGAAGAGGTGGATGCTCAAGACGTTGAAAGAACGCGCGAGGTCTACAAGGCTGCTGTTGCGCTTGTGCCCCACAAAGAATTCAGCTTTGCAAAGCTCTGGCTTAACTACGCCAGTTTTGAGGTGCGAAGGTTAGACCTGACAGCTGCGCGCAAGATTCTCGGCACATCGATAGGTCTGTGCCCGAAAGAGAAGCTCTTCAAGGGTTACATCGAGCTCGAGATCAGTCTCAAAGAATTTGATCGAGCCAGGAAAATCTACGAGAGGTGTCTGAGTTGGGACGCTAGCAATTCGAGGACCTGGATCCGCTTTGCAGAGCTGGAAAGAAACCTTTTCGACATGGATCGAGCTCGTGGTATCTTTGAGCTCGCCACGAAGCAGCCTGAGCTGGACATGCCCGAAGTTCTCTGGAAGGCTTACATCGACTTTGAATTCGATGAGAGGCAATGGAGCGCTGTGCAAGATCTATTCGAGAGGTTGCTGCGAAAGACGAAGCACGTCAAGGTGTGGATCTCGTATGCCAACAGTTTTATTGGAGCAGCTATCGCTGAAGAGGAAGATGAGGATCAAGGGGACGAGGACGAAGGAGAGGAGGAGGTTGCCCCCAAGCAGCTGACAGAAGATCAAGTTGCCGAGAGGAGAGAAAAGAGAAAGGAAGCTGCGAAGAGGAGCAGGGACACCTTTGAGCGTGCATATGCTGATCTCAAACAAAGAGGACTCAAAGAAGAGGTGAGTTGGACGCAGGAGCATTTTGTGGTAACCTGCGAATGAGCTTTTTGGACTGATACATGACGTCTGCCTTCGTTCAACCATCCAGAGAGTCCTGCTGTTGGAAGCCTGGAAATCTTTCGAGTCGCAGCACGGCAATTTGGACGAGGAGCTCGCGCCAGGCGCAGCAGAGAATGCAAACCTGAAAAGCGTGAAAGCGAAGATGCCTCGTGTCGTCAAGAAGAGAAGACAGACTTCGGACGGCGAAGGTCTGGAAGAAGTGAGTCTTTGCGCGGTGCTATGTCAGGACTTTGTCGTGCCCTTTGCTCAAGGACTTTTCTCCTCGCCCTCCCACTTCGCAGTACTACGACATGGTCTTTCCCGACGACGACGATGGTTCATCCACCAGCTTCAAATTGTTGCAAATGGCGCACGCGTGGAGAGCCAAGCAGCAAGCGGCCGCGGCCGCGGCCGCTGCAGCCGCATCCAACGGTGCTGATGCTGAGCAGACCAGGGAGGCTGCTGAGGCTGATGATGGTGCTTCGGCGGTGACGGAAGAAGCGAGCGTCAAGCTAGACGGCCCTCGGCAGGTGGATGCGGAGGCAGGATGGGAGGACAGCTGAGGTCGGTCATGCGTTGACGCATTGCGAGACGATTCAGACAATTCCACCGTCAATCAAATCCTCGTCTCGCGAGGCCCGTGAGTCTGTTTGATCTTAACGTTAAAGGCAGGGAAACGTCCAAATGAGACCTGCAGTGGACCAGAAGGCACTTCTCTGCGGCTTCTTTTCCCAAATGTCTGATGGCGCTTTCGAGAGGCTGGGAAAGAATAAGTCATGAATATCGCATTCGATAGCCAGTTAGATCCGAGGTCTGTCCTGTGCGCTTTGGTACATGAAAGATTGTGCTCTCAAAATACGAGTATACATGGTGTCTGATAGGTCTCGAGACGAGCAGCCGTTGCTAACGTATCCGTCGTGCAGCAGCTGAGCCGGCGTCTTTGACGACAAGGACAGCGACATTTGGAAGAACGTTACAAAGCAACACCTCTCAGTAATCTCTTCTCTTCCTGTCCTCTCTTTCATTTCGAGCTCTAAAGTACTTTGCCTCGAAACCGTTGCCTCTGTCAACCCCGTCCCAGCGGTACCCCGGCAAAATACCAAAGCGATTGGGTGGAGGTCGAGGTCCCTTGTACTTTGGCTTTTGAGGCCCTTCTTCTCTCTTCTTGGTCAGAAATCTCAGAGCTGGATCGTCTGCTCTCTCCACGGACTTGAGCTCAGCGTTGCGAGATAAGTCATCCGCTCCTCTGTAAACGTGAAGCGTGAAATCGACCAGGATAAGCCTGGGCGCCGAGCTTGTTGCATGAGAGAAAATTGCGCTCACCTAGCAAAGTTCTCCATGCCGACCAGGCGCTCCCTTTCCCTAGCTTCTTTTTGCATCTTCCTTTGGACCTCTCCCACATTCCACATGCCCTTTTCCCTTTCTCTCTTTTCGCTTTCAATCTCCTCCCTCTTCCTCTTCGCTTCCTCCTCTTTCAAATCAATTTTTCGGCCCGAAGAGTCACGGTAGACTGTCTCTTCCTGCTCGACATTGGGTCTTTTCCGGAAAGTGTCAGGTTGCGAGTTACCTGACTGAACCTCTCCTTGCAGAGCTTTAGCTCGCGCTTCTTCTTCTCGGGCCAGACGCTCTGCTTTCATCTCCTCGCGCGATTTGAGACCAGCCTTGAATTGAGGTTTGGAAGGACCCGCAGATGCAGACGATCCTGGCGCCTCGTTGGAATCTGCGGCGGAAACTTCTGCATCCGCCTTGCTCCGAGACGTCTCAGCTTTCGATTGGCCCAGCTTTGACCACTTTCTCCTCTGCGAAGCCGCATCATCCACCACGACGGCTTGCAAGTCGTCCTCATCTCTGCTCCTCTTCCAGCTCTCGTCCTCTGCAGACGTGAACTTGAGACCATCCTGATCCGCCGCGTCATTTGCACACCGCTTTTTGCGCATCTTTTTAGTCCCTTCACCATCGACTGAACGAGCTAGGATGGCGTCCGCTTTGGGTCCGGAGAGATAGCGCGAAGCCAGATATGCTTGTAAATTTGGATCGGGCATTTTGCAGCGTGAGCCTCAGAAGAAGGGAAGTTTAGGGAGTGTAGTGGAGAATCTACAGGGAGTTCGAGCGGGTCAGCGAATGCGCAAGCCGCGCAGAGTGATGTCGGGGAGAAGAAGGCCTTGCCCTGTATGCGATTGCTGTTGATGTGTAGCCTCGCCAAACGAACCCATGCAGCATGAATCGTAGACCGAAAGGGCAGATACGGAGGCGCTCAAAAGAGTGACGATGTTGTTGGCCAAGCAGTGAAAAGGTTCAGTCGAGCTTGCGACTGGAGAACCTCCCGTCGCACGTACAATCACGCAGAATAGACGGAGTGCGCGACGGACTTGGTCGAATTGTCTTGCGACAGGTGAGGGGTCCGGAAAGACTTGGGGAACTGGGCCTGCTTGATGCCCATGCCCACGCCCATGTCCATGTCCATTCCCTGCAGGACTCAGCAAGCGATTGCCACTCACCTTCTCTGTGAGCCTCACCAGCGAGCTCTCCTTTGCTGTCGACTTCGAGGACGAGATGCCGGCTTGCAATGCTAATCCAGATCTGCAAAGACCCTTTGCAAGGCAATCTGAGCGAGTGGCTGCGCGCAGAGGAGCGGCTCGGCTCTATACGCAAAGCTCAGCTGATCATGCCGTCTCGAAGCTTGCTGAGGTCGTTCAGCACCTTCTGCTCCTCGCGCTGAGCAGAGGAGTACGATACGTTTGCTGGTGACACAACACTCCCCACCGCCACCAGCACGAATAGGATGAGTTGAAGTTGACCGACATGTATATTCATGCGACACTGCCGATGCCTGATGATCGAGTGGCTACGGCATGCTCAGCAGACTGCCTACTTCGCAGCTCTGTCTGCATGCTGTGTGTGAAATCGAGGTGGAGAGACGCGCCAAAGTCGAGTGGCAAGCGGGCGGTTGACTCAGTGACTGCTTGCAGCCACGTGGCTTTATCTGAGAAGCCCTCGGGGCGAGTGTGGTGTGAGGCCACGCTCTAGCTCAAATATGCTGCTGCTGCTGCTGCACGCACAGCAGTCAAAGTCACCCTTAGCGCGCAGCCAGCATGATGTTGCGGCTCGAGAGTGGCTAGATGCCGACACTCTGCTGTTCGGGGGCTGTGCGGCTATAGCCACCGCAGGATGCTGTTGCCAGCGCGCGCTCACCGCCACGCGCGCCCGCCGCGCCAGTTGTTGTTGCTGCATGCATTGCATGCTGGCCAGCAGCACAGGCGGCCGCGTGCGCCCCGGTGGGCTCTTGGTGCTACCGCACAGCGGCGCTGACAGCACGGCTGGCATGCACACACATCCATGCTGTTTGGGATGGATGGATGACCTTCTCGTTCGTGCGCGCCGTGTGCATGCATGCATGGCCAGCCATGCAGCAGCGCCAGCGTGCGAGAGCGCGACTGGCGACTACTACTGTGCTGTGCCGTGCGCCCATGGTGCGTGCGCACGCTGGCCTGCCTGCTTGCCTGGCCTGGCCGTCTGCGTCTGCGTCTGCGTCTGCGTCTGCTGCTGTCTTTGCGCTGAGCTTGGCTTCGCTTGCCTTGCCTTGCCTTGCCTTGCCTTGCGTGGATGGGATGGGATGGGATGGGATGGCCCATCCGCGTCGTTCGGTTTGATTGGGCTCCTGACTGCTGCTGAGCACCTAGCTGAGGCGCTTCTCTTCCCAACCACACCCCACTTGCGGACTCGTTGACCCTTCCACCATCCTTACGTCTTGCCCTTGCGCATTTGAAGCTTTTGCGCTCGACCTCTACCACCTTCACAAACGTTTTTCTTACTCTTCTCCCACACCCCAACAAAGTCATACAAGTCAATATGGAGGGTGAGTGTTTTGACTGGGCCTTCAACATTGAACTCGGCGAACGTCACAAGATTGACGAAAGGGAGCAAGCTGTGCCTGGTGTGGATTGCTTAGATTGTGCTGTCTTGCTCTGGCTTCTTATGGCTCCGCTGACCGCTCTCTTATCCCCCTCTCCTCTCTTCGCCCTTCCTATCGACTCGCCTCTGCAGACGAGGTTGCCGCCGTAAGTGTCGATGAGGTGGTTTGCTCTCTGTATTGCAGCCGCCCGATACATGCTTGCTTATTCGTGCCTTCAAATCTGACGTCTCTCTTGCTTGTCCTGCGCTTGGTCATTCAGCTGGTCATTGACAATGGCTCCGGAATGTGCAAGGGTGAGTCATTGCTGATCACGCTTTGGACAGCTATCGTTCAAGCACCATCTGACTAACCTTCTCACCTTTGTTTCGCTCTATCCGTAGCTGGCTTCGCCGGCGATGACGCCCCTCGCGCCATCTTCCCGTGAGTGGCGATGTGGGTCTCAAAAGCCGGTGCCAGGATCGTGAAGGAGGCACAGCTGCAGTGTACGAGTGCTGCCATGAGACCAGCAAGGGTGAACTGGAGACTATCAAGTCAAAGAGCAGAGGCCGCTGCTGGGTGCTCTCCCCAGAGCCACGGCTGCTCCTCGTGGGCCTCAGGCAATGCTGGCAAACCCTTCGGCGCACGCGGTCTGCTCTCTGCGTATGGCCAAGTCAAGAGCCGCTTGTGGGGAGCACGGGGGAGACATCGCGCATTTGCGCGAAGCCTGGATGCTTATACGTCAAGATCCGCCTTTGCGCAGATCCATCGTTGGACGCCCTCGCCACCAGGGTGTGATGGTTGGAATGGGCCAAAAGGTGAGTTCAGACGTCGATGAGGTCGATCAGCAGCGAGAAGGAGCGTCGTCGATGCCCAGGAAGTCTGAGGGCTCTGGCATGAGCAGTTGGAAATGAACCAGAATGCTGACGCCCGGCTTGGTCGTTCCGTCGAACGATGCAGGACTCTTATGTCGGCGACGAGGCTCAATCCAAGCGTGGTATCTTGACTCTCAAGTACCCAATTGAGCACGGCATTGTTACCAACTGGGACGACATGGAGAAGATTTGGCACCACACCTTCTACAACGAGCTGCGTGTCGCTCCCGAGGAGCACCCCGTTCTTCTCACTGAGGCGCCTTTGAACCCCAAGGCGAACAGGGAGAAGATGACTCAAATCATGTTCGAGACCTTCAATGCCCCCGCCTTCTACGTTTCCATTCAGGCCGTCTTGTCTCTGTACGCGTCCGGTCGTACAACTGGTATCGTGCTCGACTCTGGTGATGGTGTTACCCACACTGTTCCCATCTACGAAGGTTACTCCTTGCCTCACGCTATTCTGCGTCTTGACCTTGCTGGTCGTGACCTCACGGAGCACTTGGTCAAGATCCTCATGGAGCGCGGTTACCCCTTCACCACTACTGCCGAGCGCGAAATCGTTCGAGACATCAAGGAGAAGCTTTGCTACGTCGCCTTGGACTTTGAGCAGGAGATGCAGACTGCTTCTCAATCCTCTGCACTGGAGAAGAGCTACGAGCTGCCAGATGGTCAGGTCATCACCATCGGAAACGAGCGTTTCCGCGCTCCCGAGGCCCTCTTCCAACCCAGCTTCCTGGGTCTTGAAGCCAGCGGTATCCACGAGACCACTTACAACTCCATCATGAAGTGCGATCTGGACATCAGAAAGGACCTGTACGGCAACATTGTCATGTCCGGAGGTACGACCATGTACGCGGGCATTTCGGACCGTATGCAAAAGGAGATTACGGCGCTTGCGCCGAGCAGCATGAAGGTCAAGATTGTCGCCCCTCCGGAGCGCAAGTACTCTGTGTGGATCGGCGGTTCAATCTTGGCTTCTCTTTCCACCTTCCAACAGATGTGGATCTCGAAGCAGGAGTACGACGAGGCTGGTCCCAGCATCGTGCACAGAAAGTGCTTCTAAGCGCCACGCCGACTTTCACAGTGGTCAATTGGCTGCTTTTGCTGCTGTTGCTCCACGTAGCTGGCGCGGAATGGTGGCGTTGCTGTCCTGTGTGTCCTCGACTGCTTGGTGGTGTGCCACACTCGAGTGCTCTCTGTCCTGCTCGCCTTCCCAAGCCGCACCTTCTCCATTCCTCCCCTCCTGAAACAAACCTCACGAAATGGCAATGTCGATTGAATGAAATACAAATGGCGGCCGTAGCGTGTTTTGTGGTGCAACAAGCACGGTCGCAATAGTGAGAGGTAGCATGGAGGAGTCACTTCGTCACACGATGCGTGAAGCGGGAGCTTGGGACATGCTCACTCTGCCCAGCCTCTGTTCAACAAATCGATCTCCGCGCGTACTTCGACATCGTTGCGAGGGCGGAATCTGGGAGAGGTCCAAGGCCGAGCCTCGATTGGGGGGAGGGGTGGAGGGGAGGGACAAGGAGCGCATCCTGACGATTGAAAGACTGGGGGACTCGGAAGTGTGGCAGAAGTGGTGGATATTGATTGCAGAGAGTTTCTTTGATGATGGGGGATGAAGACAGACAAGAGCGCATTCGAAAAGGGGCTTCTTGAACCCCCTGAAAGGGGACAAAGCTGAAGAGCCGGTTTTTTAAGGAAGGGAGGAAGGGGAGAGGAGTCGGAGTCGGAGTCGGAGTCGGAGTCGCAAGCAAAGATTTGAAGAAATTGAAAAGCGGGATTGTTAC